AGGGGAGTGACTCTGGACCGGGTGATCAGGGTTCTTACCATCCACCCCTCTTTGTTGGGGGAGCGGAGGAAGGGGAGGCCCCAAACAGCAGAGCCCCGCTGGAGGCATCCCAGCATCCCCGGGAGTGAGCGGGGTGAGGGGAGAGCTAGCCTAGAAGGAAGGGGGAAGGGCAGTGGGGCAGGGAGCAGGGGCTGGGGGGCGGCTCTGGAAGCCCTTGGACCGTCGGCCGCTCACTCTCGGACATAGACCCTGGTGCACACGATATCATCCGCCGTCATGGTCTAAAAGGACAGAGGTCAGAAGTCATCGTTAACCTGGAAGGCCCCTGGTCCTGCTTCTAGATTCAGAATGGACAGGCAGGGGCTGGCTCCCAAAATGCCCTGGTGTCACGGGAGGGAAGACGGCATAGACCCCCCGGGGCTGTGTCCCCCATACTCCTCCCCAAGCTGTGAGGACGGATTGCCCAGATGCCACCCTGCCGCCTCAGCCCACATGGCTTGCTCCACACGGGACACCATTGCACGGCCACAGGGCAGCAGCCTGTGGGACAGGGACAGCTTAGTCCTTCCCCAGCAGCGCCATCAGGAGGTGGGGAGGCCAGCTATGGTCGGTCTTGAACCTCCAGCGCCCTGCAGCGTCCCAGAAAAGCCCGAAGGTGGCACCGGGCTTGTGCTCAGCTCGGAGCAGCTTACCAGGACCAGCTCCCCGTCGTTGGTCAGCTCCCTGGTCCACGAGGTCTTGGGACCCTCTCCCTTCAAAAGCCTCTGCTCGCAGACCATTTTGTTCTCACTCTCCCATTTCACCAGGCTCTGCAGGAGAGAGGCCAGGTGGGCTGGGCCCGCAGCAGGGTGGGTGCCGCGAGAGGGATTTGCTCCGCTGGAAGGATCCCAGAACACTCCGGAAAACGGCACGTGGTGAGGCAGGGCAATGGAGGCCATGACCCCGAGGGACTCACCTTGCAGGGTCTCCCGTCCACCGTCTGCTCCTCGAACTCCTCTCCGATCTTGAAGTTGATCTCCGTGGTGCGCACCGTGGTGGAGGTTTTGATGTAGAAAGTGTCTCCCTCCTGCTTGATCTCCACCGCCGGCTTCGATGCCGCCGCCACGGCGATCTTCCTCAGCATCACGTTCACCCCTGCAGGGAGGTGCCGGCGCCCTCACTTCGGCCCAGTTCACCTCACTTGCCGCCCTTGGTCCGCCCTGCTCGACACCCTCCGCTGGGGTGGACTCCGCAGAGTCACCGTCTTCACCCCTGCCCAAGGGCAGGCCAGACCCGTCTTCACCCCTGCCCAAGGGCAGGCCAGACCCGGGATCCCCAGCCAGGCCCCGCCACTCCCATCCAGGAAGTAGGGGCCACTTTCCTTCCTGCCGGACCCACCTCCCCTGTCTGGCGCTGGGTTGGCCTTCATGTGCCCAATCTCTGTCCCTCCCCAAAGTGAGGAGCGGGGACTACAGTGGGTGACGAGGAGGGGGGCGGCTGGTCCCCTCTTACAAATGGCCTGGGGAAGCCAGAGATTCTGCAGTGAGATCCACTCGGCCCTGACATCCACGTGGCTTGGCCTCTCTGGCAGGCCAGGTGACTCTGGGCAGGTGACGGAACCTTTCTGGGCCTCGGGTTCCTCAAGCATAAAGTGGAGCCCCCACAGCACGGGTGACGTGTGCAGGACTCAGCGCACGCAGCACTGGGTACACCTTCCAGCTTTCAGGAAACAGGAGCTCTTATTATTTTTACTGAGAAAAGGAAGTCAAAGGAAAAGCCAGAGCTCACCTGCCCTCCTGGCTCCTCTCCCCTCGTGGGACAGAAAGGGACACTGCCCCCCCCTCCCCCCCATATGTTCCTTACTCTAGGATCGTCGTGACCTCAGTGGTCAGGTCTTCTCGTTCAGCCTCTGTGGACCCAGAGTCCCTGTGCCTGCCCCCCACATCCTTCCCCACACTGGACCCCTTCTCTTTGCTCCCCAGTCTCTAAGAAGGGTGGCGAAGCCAGGAGACAGCATCTGTCCCAGGAAGAAAAGCAGGCAGGGAGGCCTACCTGGCAGGGGCGTGTCTGAGCATCACCCCGCTTCCCCTGCTGGGCGCCCCCACCCTGACCTGGAGCAGAGACCTTCAGGGAAGCAAGGGGTGGGGATCGGGGAGGGGGGGGCAAGCAGGGTTGGGTCAGGGAAGCCGAGCTCCCTGGCCCCCCTGCACACCTGGGTTCCTACAGAAACAAATCCTCTTTCCCCTTGGCACCAAAGCAGACCTGCTCTGTTCCAGAAAGGGACAGGGAGAGCGGATGGACTCCCCCAGGGGTCCTAGGAGCCCCCTTCTCGGCTGTTGGGAGAAATGACCGAGGTCCCTGGGCCTGGTCACCTTGGTAGAGGAGGCCCATCCCACCCTGTCTCCACCGTGTTGCCCCCTGAAAGTCCAGCTCACCTTCTGACAACCATTTTCCCCGTTACAGGAACAGAATCTGCTCACACAGCCCGCCTACCATAGTGGATGGGACACGTATCCCCCAACACCACCTGGGCATGCCTCACCAGGAAAGGGATCCTTGACTGGGGCAGAGGGGGCAGGGAGGGGCCGAGGTTCCTGCAGAGGCAAGGCTGGGCGAGGCCGGGCTCGCAGGAGACCCCGCTCCAGCCAGGGCTGTTTGTCTAACGGGTCTGTTTTCAATCTGCCCCCAGCAGGGCCTGAGGAGGGCACGTGGCTCTGAGAGACCCTGCAGGGAGGACAAACAGACCACAGACAGACAGACCACAGGGTTGGGCTTGGGCTCTTAGTCTCCAGCTGGGCCTGCGGGTGTGTGCCCGGCCACCTCGGGCCTCATCCACTGGGGACAGGGGCCAGAATCCAGACAAGGGGAGGGAACGCATCTAGGCTTTCTGAAGGGAGAGTCTTCATTTTGGTTTTTAGTTTCAGCGAGGGCAGAGTGGGGAAGAAGGGAGACATGCCTCGAAGGAGTGCTGGGGTTAGGGGGAAAGAGCTAATGGCCAGGCGTGATGGAAACAGCGTTCCAGACTCTTCGGAGGTCCAGACTCACCCACACACAAGTGCCCCCCCACTCCCCCTGTCCAACCGGGGTCACTGTGTTCAGTCTAGAAATGGATGGCATGCTTACCCGTAGGCCGCAGGGCTCCCAGGTGGCGGCTTCCCAAATGTTCCCCTTCCCAGAGCCCCCTCCCAGCAGCCTGGGCTGGGGCAGCTTCCCACACACCTCAGGGCACCCAGGAGTTGGGAAACGCACTGAGACTAGCCTCCACTCCCCCCACCTTTAACCCACACACCCCGCAGGGCTGCGGGGGGCGGGGGGGGGGTCTCAGGGGAGGGAGGGAGAAGAGAGCCCGCAGTTTTTCGGGAATGGGGGGCTGGGGTTTCACACGAAGCCATTTGTTGAAATCTAAGAAAGTGATAATTATGCAGAGACTTGGGCCTCTGGAGCTGCCCGCCTAGGGAAGCATTAGTCTCACGGATGGGGGGCGGGGGCGCAGAGTGGAACGCGCTGAACCGGGAGGCCGTGTGGGGACTGGGCTACTGGCTGCCGCGGGGGGGCCAGGGGCGAAGAGGCGGCAAGGTCTCGGAGGGGCTCCCCTGCCCCACCCCCGGGACACCGACCTCGTGCTTTCTACTGGATCCACAGGCTGGTCGCTCAGGACCTTTAGGTCCCGGCCCTGAGCCCCCCGACCCAGGCGCTCGGCCCCCTTGCTCGGGGACGCTGACGCCCAACCTCCCCCGCCCGGATCCCCGCCCTCCTTTCTTTCCCGTGCCCACCTCGAGGCCCCGGGCGCCCGAAAATCTCCTTACCCAGCACTTTGAGCAAATCCTCGAAGTTTTCCGATCGGATGATCTTCCAGCTGCCGGAGAAGTTGGGCATGATGCTTTGGTCGGAGCACTGGACGCCGAGTCTTTTCGTCAAGAGAGATGTCGCCGTCGCCTGGTCGTGAGACTCGGGAGCCAGGACACGTCCCAGGACAACCCCGGAGCTGGCTTGGGCTCCCGCGCGGGCAGCTTTTATACCCTGCGCCGGGCCCGCCCCTACGAGAGAGAGAGAGAGAGAGAGAGAGAGAGAGAGAGAGAG